CAGTACCAACACAAAGAAAGAAACAGTGGGGAGCTCTTGGCTCATATCTGTAATCCTAGCTATTCAGAAGACTGAGATCTAAGGATCCAGGTTCGAAGCCAGTCTGAGCAGGAAAGTCCATGAGACTCTTCTACAGACTACCAAAAAGCTGGCAGTAGAGCCATGGCTCAAGTGGTAGAACATTAGCCTTGAACAAAAGAAATTCAAAAGCTAAGTATGAAATCAGCCTTAGGTAAGGCTTACTTCATCAAAACCCATACTTAGTTCAAGAGTAACTGTTGTGTGGTAACAGCTGGTCTTAGTGCACAAAAGCACTGAGCTAACAGCGTCAGCTATGGCACAGAGCTAGCATTGTAAAGCTTTCCTCAGTTGGATAGAAATGCTATATTTACATAGTCAACAGGTGCAGTTGTTTGAAATGCTGGTGCATTTATTGCTGTTTACCATCACCACAAACCATTTCATAACCATGTTATAGATCCATATTTGCATCAATTAGAAATGAACACCTGTATCTTGAATTCTCTCCAGCAAATATAATGGAATATTTTGGAATTCTTCTCCATGATAAAGTGACCAGATTGCTTTCCTAATAATGCTTTTGTAATTATGTCAGCCATGAATGCAGCTGAGTGTAATCTCCAAATATCTCAGTTTCCTCATAAAACATGAAAAGAACACTATTTGCCACATAGTTAAGAAAGACAAAGTGGACTGAAATCCCTAGGAATAAAGAATTTATGCACACAAGTACCCATTTAGGTAAACTAAGAGGAATAGGATATTTGGAGACGCTGTCACCAAGTAGACAGGTAGGAAAAGCCTATAGAAGCAAGAGTATTTATGCATCCTTAGCTCCAACTAAAGGATGAACTACTACCGAACATGATAAAGAGAAACATTTGTTGAATGCTACTATATTCAAATATGTGAAAATGGGACCAGATAACTTAAGGGGATGGATGGGGTTGGGAGAAATAGAGGAAAATTATGGAAGAGGTGACACTGATCACAATGCATTATGCTTACAAACTGGTAACAATTGAAACTTTTTTTTGTATTGGTCCTGTTACCTGAACTCAGGATTTTGGGTACTGTCCCTGACCTTTTTGGCTCAAGATTAGTACTCTATTACTTGAGCCGTACCTCCATTCCCGGTCTTTTGGTAGTTAATTGGAAGTAAAAGTCTCATGGACTTTCTTTCCCTGGCTAGCTTTGAACCTTGATCCTTGAATCTCAGCCTTCTGACTAGCTAGGATTACAGGTGTGATTACTTGTCACCTGGAAAGTTGAAACCTTTTTGTGCAATGACTTAAACAAAAAATTTAAAAAAAATTAAAAACACAAAAAAGAATTTCAAGCACTATCTCCCCATACCTTACATTACAGAAGAATCCCAACTCCAACAGGGGGAGGACAGAATTTCTGTAGTCTTTTTTTCTCTGAATTTTCTGATTGGTTAAATGTTATGGGGAACTTCTGGTCTAAAATGGAGTTGCCTTGTACACAGACTACTACTAATAGATAACACATTTAATGCATGTTGAACATCCTGGTGTATGTAACTAGAGCTATTGAACACTATTTACCAAGTTGTTCCTGGCAACACCACTGGTAGCCAGAGCTCTTATGATGCTCATTATACCTAGCACAGAAGCTGAGGCATATAGAGACAAAGGATGAATGCAAATTTCTGATAACTATGTGACTTCCTGATCATTACAGTGAATTTCAGGATGCTAGATTTTTGAGAGCTGAAAAAGGTATTGATCCTGTATTATGGCTTGGACTTTCACTGTAATTTATATCCAAATCTTTGGGGGGGGGGAAAGAGAGGGTAGTGGCTATCTAGTTACCAGGCAATTTTAATGCTCTCTTAATTACTTTTTAATGTACAATAGTACATTATTATCAAGTACAATGATCAAGTGTGTGGAAAATTAATGACAATACTCTGTTTACATGCTACTTTTATTATGTGGCCATATGGCCTCATGGAAGCAGGGGTCTCTCTGCTTGGGTGGAGTCATCATCACATCCCAGACCACACAGTGGCTCTTTAATTGAACATCGCTAACTCACACAAAGTGTTCTTTTTAAGGAATTTTATCTTTTCATAAACTTTGTAATGAGAAAAATGACCTTCAGTTCAAGCAATTCCTCCTTTTTGTTGATGATGAGAGGCAAAAGACTTGGCTTTTAATTTACTTTTCTTAAAACAGGAACTGTCTGCTATATCCTAATAATTGTTATACTGCAGCTGGCCATTTGCCTATGGCCATCTCATTGCTTCTTTGGGTCTTAAAGTCATACAATCATTTCTTTTAAGGTAAACTTCATATCCTACCATGGAAAGGAAAGTTAAGAACAACATGGAAAAAGGAGTGATATACTTCCAGCTTAGTGTTTTTGTTTTTTGGTATATTTTTTTTGCCAGTCCTGGGGTTTGAACTCAGGGCCTGGGATCTGTCTCTGAGCATCTACCACGTGAGCCACAGCACCACTTCTGGCTTTTTCTGTTTATGTGGTACTAAGGAATCAAACCTAGGGCTTCATGCATGCTTGACAAGCAATCTGCCACTAAACCACATTCCCCGGCCCTAATATATCAATTTTATGGATAACAATTGCTGTGGGAAAATGCATCATATCATGATGAAAGAGAACAAAATATTTTCGGACTCCAACAATAAAAATATCTCTATTAGTAAGTGGATTTATTGACATAATTGAACATAACAACGAATAACATTTATCCAACTCCCACTGAAAGATTTGCCAGTGAAGCAGTTTTAATTTGAACACAGAAGTGGGCACTAAGCATTTTCAGTGATATTCTGCAATTGGTAAGGTGGATGGTGGACAGATTAGTGGTCTTTTCCAGACTTTGGATAGAACTCAACATTACACTGTTGTGCAGAAGAAACAGCTAAGAGATGCAATTGTGCTCTGCTTTAAAAAAAAGAAAAGATAAGCCAACACTATGAAAGATGCCAGACCGCCTGCAGGTTGAAAATAAGAGCAAACAGCTCTACTTCTCCCATGTACCCATATGTGCTAAATCTAAAACAAGGCCTGGCAGCAAACAAAGAATGACAGTCTATTTCCTGTGGTTTATTAAGTTTGGACCCTGTGGATAAGACTGCCAGAAAAGCAGCTGTAGTTTAAGTGGTTTGGACATTTACTCCTCTGAACATAAACAAAGATCAGCTAATTCAGATCGCTGGGTCCCCATTCCACTGTTGGGACAAGGGCAGGCATGGCTCTATGTAGGCCAAACATAAAAGAAGTGAACTGGGTTGAAGTACCCCTGCACTCGGCTGAATTCCCTGAGGCTCTCAAAAGATTCACTGTGAGCCTTAAGCACCATTGGCGTGCCCTCTATAAGCCCTCCACTGCCAATAAACGCATAACCATAGTAGCTACTGCCACAGTTCTCATCCTCTTAGTGACTGCACTTTCAGACCACACGCAAAATTACTCACATAAACCCCACCATGACATTTAGTAATAAACATGTACTGCATAAATATCAAGGAGTATCCCAAATAGCTAAAAACAACGAAACAAAAAAAAAGCAAAACCAAACAAACACAAGAGCCTAATCCTAAATTAAAAAGAAGAAAAGAAATATTACAACTATTTACTAAAAGATAAAGTTTAGTAACAATAAAACACTGGGTAGTGGAGGGATTCGTTAACAAAAGTATATCCTTACTTCACAGTGAAGTTTAAGTACTCATAACAATGTTCTTTCTGGTTTTAGTAGAAATAAGACACCATTGACATTAGTTTTTCACATTTGTTTTACCCTAATTTCTTCCCATCCATTATTTTATCTAAAGACACTAATGTCAAAGATTACACTATCCATTGACAATCACCTTTTTGTTTTGTTTTTGCAATGCTGGGGATGAACAGAGCCTCACACATGGAAAGCAAGCTCTCTACCACTGAGCTCCATCCAAGCTTTGCTTCCCTCTTAGGAAATTATCTTTTAAGGCTTAACTATGCAACTCAGGAGAAGCAGGCATAGCAGATGGAGTGTTGCTGATAAAAACCAATGCAAAGAGAAGGGCATCATATTTATACCCATCTACACATAACTGCTGGAGATTGGTAAGTGAGCTCTAAGGCTCAGATCCCTGGAGACTCATCAGTTACACACACACACTGCATTCATCTGATCAATTCTGGCATTGATATTTCCTTTTCCATATACAGGTTAAAAGAAATTAAAAACCACAGGAAGTCTTGAACGCAGTCTTCTCCTGAGAAAAGTATGTCATGTTAGTTTATCCTTAAAGTCAGCAAAGGTTCATGTCCTGCTCATCTTCAAAGGAAAACAGTTGAATGGGCTAAATCGAATGAAAATAAGTCTTTGAACATATTGGTCAGTTAGTTAAATGTCAGAGGTCTTCACATTATTGAAAAACAAAAAGTGTCTCTCATTATTTAAAACCTTAATATTTCCTGAATGCTCTATCAGCCAACAGGAGTTCCTTGGGGGAAAACGTTACCACCTGTTTGTCTCACACTTCTTGGCAGAGACCACCAGACCAGTGGGGTCAGCTGCCAAGTCTTTATAATGGCGATGTTTCTTTGTCCTTAAATAGAAACAGAACTCCTCTGTTGACACTGACTGAACAAACCAAAGCATAAACCCAAATCTTCCTGCTTGTGTTAGGAGTACAAAGCACCCTTTTCTGGTCCAAAGGAGGCCAGTGCAATGCTACAAGATTCAGCCTCCCATCTCTGCCCCTACCAATCATTTCCCTAGTCTTGACTTTGACCACTGAGTACCATCCACTGACCATGATTCCAGGAAGGGGAAGGTGGTACCCAGGTCGGCTCTCTCTGTCTCCCTCCATCTCTGCAGCAAATGCCCCCAAGTGACATCTGACAAAGCAGACTTCCCCTGATGAGGATTGGGAAGCCGGATGGGAAGTGCTTCTTCAAGGCTAGTGAGATCGCTTCCGCAAGGCCCCGAGGCCCCGGATCTAGTCGGCGAATCGTTGCAGGAGGTGGTCCTCCCTCCTCAAGCTGCCACCCGTCCCGCCACCCGTACTGTCCATGAAGCGGTCGCAAGGGAACTCGATGAGGTCCGCCTCGCTGAGCGCGCACACCGTGGTGCGCGGCCGGTGGGACTGGAACCCCGAGAAGTCCGCGGACACACCGGTGCCCATGGAGCGCAGCGGCCGTCGGGTGGAGTACATGTGGCGCACGTGCACCGGGGCTCCGCCCTTCCGCCGGGCGCGCAGCTTCCTCCGCAGCCAGCGCGAGGCCCAGGCCGCCAGGGCTAGGAACACCAGCAGCGCGTTCACTGCCAGCAGAGCCAGAATCAGCAGTTGGTAGTCGACGCCACCCCGGCTCCCCGCCTCTGGCAAGGTGACCAACCCTACACAGTGATCCCGGGGGGCCACGGGGCAGACTCGGCCCCCGAGCACGCCCTCCACGCATACCAGGTAAGGGGTGTCTCCGCGCAGCTCGCGCAGCGTGGCCGAGTCGCTGCGCTCCGGCAGGTAGACGAAGCGATGGAACTTGGGCTGCTGGCCAAAGCGATCGAAAAGCAGGCGGAAGCGCGCGCCGCCCGGCGGCCCCGGGCTGCGGTGCTCACGCACGGCCCAGCGCACCGAGGCGCTGTCGGTGCCCACCGCCTCCACCGTCAGGTTGCACAGGACGTACTTGTTGTAGTCGCACGGGTCGGACACCAGCGGCGACAGGCCGGCCCCGCCGTCGGACTGGGCTGCGCGCTCCTGCGGCTCCGCAGCCAGGCGCTGCTTGGCGGCACGCTGCCGGGAGTCTCTGGCAGGCGGCGGCACGGAGGCGGGTTCTGCCGTCTGGGTGGCCTCTGCCTGAGCTGGGTCGGTAGGCGTCGGGCGATTCCTATCCAGCTTCTCATGCAGCCTGTCCAGGGGTGGTGGATCTGGGCCCGCAGCCGCCGCCGCCGCCACCGAAGGGCTCTGATGCCGGAGACCCGGACCCCGTCGGCTCAACCTTAGAGCACTTCGGTTGCTCACGAGTTCCCGGGCAGCCCCATCCCAGGCCACCCCGGCTAGAACCCGCCCCCGAGGCTGGGGCTGCGGATGATCTGGACGAACCTCCAGGAGATCTCCGTCGAGGGACGCCATCTTCTCCCCTGCGGCGGTGGGCAGGGGCCTTGGCCAGTCTGTGGTCGGGGAGAGCGAGGGATCCACGCAAGACCCGTTCTGCAGCAGCTGCTCATCCAGGTAATCCAGGTACTTGCCCCGCAGGGCCGGGGGATGGCGACACTGCACGAAGACTGTGAGGAGCCGGCCCTGAGAATGCCAGTCGCCCATCCAGCGCTTCAGGCCCCGCAGCCGGCAGTCGCAGGTCCAGCCGTTGCCGTCTAGATCCAGCCGGTAGAGGGCCGGACTGGCGGCGAAGATGTCCCCGGAGAGGGCACTGAGGGCATTGTCGCGGAGGCTGAGCTCGCGGAGGCGGCCCAGGCGGCCAAAGGTGGCGGGGTGCAGGGCCGACAGCTCGTTGGCGCTCAGGTCCAGCGCTTCTAAGCTGTGCAGAGGCTCCAGCAGCGCCAAGGGCAGCTGGCTCAGCCGATTGCCCTCCAGGCGCAGCTCGCGCAGGGCCTCCAGCCCCCAAAAGGCCTCAGGCGCGAGGTGCGTGAGCTGGTTCCCCCTGAGAGAGAGCAGGCCGAGGCGTGGCAGGTGCTGGAAGACCCGCGGGCCGAGGTGCTGCAAGCTGTTGGCGGAGAGGATCAGAGTGGACAGGGAGCGCAGCGGCGCGAAAGTGGCCGCATGGCGCAGGGAGGGCTGGAGCTCGTTGGCAGAGAGGTTGAGGAAGCGCAGTTTGCCCAGCTGGGCAAAGGCGTTCTTCCCTAAAAGGCGGATCCGGTTAGACTCCAGATGGAGATAGAGCAGATTGCCCAAAGGGGCGAAGACTGCGTCCGGCAGCGCCCCCAGGGCGTTCCCGTCCAGTCTTAACTTCACTAGACTCTCCAGGCCCTCGAAGGAGCCGCGGCTTAGGCGTCCAATCTCGTTCCCATTGGCGTAGAGGATGCGCAGTTTGCGCAACGGGGCCAGCGTGCCGGGCGCCAGCGCCTGCAGGAGATTGTTCCCCAGGTAGAGCTCCTCTAGCCGCGAGAGCTTCTCGAAGGTCTTGGGGTGCAGAGAGCGGATCTGATTGTACTGCAGGTCCAGCCGTCTGAGCTGCCCCAGGCGGTGGAAGTCGAAGGCGGTGATGTTGGTTATGAAGTTGCCCCCTAGGCTGTAGGTCAGCACGTCCTGGGGGCTAGGCAGCGAGCTGGTCTTGGGCACAGCGCGGAGCCCCCTGTTGGTGCACAGGAGGTGCTGGGGGTGCTGGCAGTCGCAACGCTCCGGGCACACGGTCTGGGCCCGGGGCGGGAGCGCCAGGCAGCAGCACACCACCAGCAGGAATCGCACGGCGCGGACCGCCTCCATCGCCGCCCGCCCTGCGCGCTGCGGCCGGCTGGTCCTCTTGGCCTGCCGGCTCCGTGTCTCCTCTGCATTCCCTTCGGCCTGGCCGGAGTCGCTCAATGGCCTCTTTCTGACTTCGCTGCGCACTCCAGCCCCTCCTCCGCCCTTTGTCCGGTGGCTGGCCTGGGTCTCTGCAGGCAGGCTTCGCCCGGCCAAGTCAGGGGGAGCAGGGCGCTGGGCGAGCTCCGGGTGCTACTTGTTGCATTTCTGCAGAAAACTATTTCTTCGCGTGCGCGTCGAGGGGCGGAGGGGGAGGGAGGGAGCAAAACCTGGCGCTTTTTGTTCGCAGCGGATTTCGGAGAGCTGGATTCCCTGGCGCGGATTCTCCCCGCCGAGCGGATTCCCCAGCTGCTGCAGGCGGGAGCCCTTCCAAGAGCTCCTCGGGGGTGAGGTTGGTGGGGGAGGCCCCCTCCTCCCCCCCACCCCCCGCGCAGCCCGGCCCCCGCAGCCGGCTCCTCCTCGATCGCGGCGCGGACTCGGAGCGCAGCGGGCTGGAACAGACCCCGGGTGCGCGGGCTGAGTCCGGAAGGGACCCAAGTTCGGCGCGTAGCTAGCAAACCCGGCGGAAATTCGTTCTTCCCACACTCTGCCTCCCGGGGACGCAGGCGGAGAAAGAGGAGACGGCTGAGGGAGGACAGACCCCGGCAGGAGAGGGGGGGTGGGGGAGGAGGAAACACTAAGTGGCTCCGCGTCTGGTCAGCTCGAGCCCGGGGACGCCAAGTGAGAAAAGTAGGGATTAAAAACAGCTGTACGAGTCGGGGAGTACGCAGGGTTGGGGGGCGGGGATGGATTACCGGGCCAAGCAAACAGGATTTGCAGACAGAGACCTTTTTATTTTAGGCAATGCACATCAGCAGCTCCAGAGCACCGATAGTGCGCCTCGTCTTACTGTTTTTAAATTCACTTTTCCAGGTACCACCCGGCGGGAAGTTTGGGCAGGTACCAAGTCCGACCTTACTCTACTGGAAGTTTGAGGGAACCCAGGATTGCCTGCAGAAGGTGTGGGTAGACAAGTTGTCCGAAGAGCCTAGTTCCACGGTTTCAGAAGCATGCATGTGAAGTCTTGTACCAGCAGCGGGGGAGAAGCACCCCCCCCCCCTTTAGGTGTCGGAACTGAGCCCTGAGCCGTTGCCAGAGTCTGCTGGAGGCAACAACAGTATGAAGAAAACTCAGAACTGGTTCTGCCAAGGTCACAGTGTCTCCCTCAGATTTTGATGATTGAGTACCCCTAGTTCTCCAAGTCTTAGAGCCCTTGGGGTAGGCTCTTTACGGTGCGAATGTTGAGCCCCATAGCGCCTGGGGTAATGACTATCTGTAGGGACCTCCTGCTCTCTGACTGGGCTTGCAGTGATCTACAAAGTCCTGATAGTCTTTAGGGTCAAAAGTGCTCATATCTGCCATAATTGGGGAAATATGATCAGTTACTATCCATGGGGTATAAGCGGAACATTGTTTTATCGATGGTTCCTTTGGGGGCATCCCTGCTGAAAATGAAACAGGTTAAGGGAGAAATGTTACTATTTATGTATGTAAACCATTTTTTGAAAACAACAACCCCCCAGGTATGGAGAAAATGAATATTTTTTTTTCAGAAACTACTCTATGTAACAGTGTGGAAATCAGAGGAGAGACAGCCTCACTTCAAGAGGCTGACCGTCTAATGGGAAGGACAATGCATTGACAGGTCAGGTAATTGCCTGTAATTCTAGCTACTTAGGAGGCTGGGATTTGAGGATCGTGGTTCAAAGCCAGCCCTAATAGGAAAGTCTGAGATTCTCTTATCTCCAATAAACCATCAAATCCTGGAAGTGGCACTGTGGTTCAAGTAGTAGAGTGCCAGCCTTGAGCAAAAAAAGCTAAGGGAATGTACAGTCCTTTAGTTCAAGTCCCAGAACTGGCATTAAAGGAAAAAAATAGAAGCCAGTGAGACAGACAGCTAAGATTCGGAAGATTTTTTTAAATAATCCCAATACTTCTTTTCCCTTGGAGCAAATAATACAGGAATGTGATAGATAGATAGATAGAGCCATGTTTAAATGCAGAGGCTTGTGATTTACATATTTCAAATGAGAAGTGAACATAGGGAACCAAACACCTGATTTCCAAGAGGAATCATGAAGTTAAGATAGTTTCATCTTTTAGATCTTATTTTGTGAGAGCCTGAAAGTCTCCATTAGTTCTTGAGTCCTAAGAAAGCGTAGCTGGCTGGAAGGAGGGAGATCCAAGCTTGTTCATTGTAGCACAAGCCCCCAATTTTCTTGATCTGGGCCAAAGAAGCTTTTAGGACAGCCTTCTGTCTTTGCCAGCAGCAGAAATGTTTCAAATTTTCCAGAGGAAAAACACGAAAAGGCTGCAGGTTTCTAGACACCACAAGGTGTGTCTAGGGTGGTGTCACTAAAGCTCGGGGTGTCTTAAAGCAGGTGAGTGCCCATCTCCCACAGCCTTGGAGACTACCAAGGAGCTCCTTAGTAGGGAATAGGTTGGAAACACGAGGATACTGGTGTGGAAGAGGGAGAAACAGAAATCAAATCCAACTCTTGCATAAGCTTCTTCCTGAGCGGAAAATTCAGAGAGCTGCTAGATTTTTGATTAATCACTCATCTCTTACAAACACCAATAAGTAGGATTTATAAAGTTACAAAGTTATCAGATCTCTGCAAATGTTAAGGGCTTTTAAAACAGTTTTGGCTTTCTTTGGTATCATTGCCCAGTATTTAGTGTTTCTACCAGTAGTCCGGATTGCCAAAGGGAAATAACATCATACCTGGCTATGTGTCAAAAGACAATTGTTCTTCAATGGCAATCCATTTTCTTGAAACACCCCATCTGTTGCATATAGTTAACTCCATTTACAATGAAGATAGTATGCTGTATTTCAAGTAAGTGTGAACAGTTCTTGGTAAGTGTTGCTAGCTCCCTCAATCCAGCTCAATCAGTCAGAAGAGGGCTTTGAAATCCACAGAGAAACCACTAACACACATATTTACTAGTTCTTTCTCAAAAAGTATAACTGCCATCTTTTAAACAAATGTTCCTTTATAAAGGCATGTGGACTGAAGTCAACTTTACAAACGAATGACATTTAAATACTTCAGAATCAATTTGATGTGATAGATATTTGCATGTGTGTACCCAAGTCTCCACTTCTGTAATCCTACCCGCTCATGTGTTTGATTTATTTTCAGGCTGTCTTTCAGGAGTGATAGTGGTATTTTGCTCAAACTTGATAGAAGCTGTAACAAATCTCCAAACTTCATTTGCTTGGGAACTTCATTACTGCTAGTGAACAGTGGAGAAGTGTTTAGTGAGAACTTACTATATACCAAATTCCAGGAAGAAGAGCCGTGAGTGGCTGAGAAAGTCCACTTCGAAGCCTCATGAGGTCTAGCTGATAGGAGAAGCAGCAGCTTGGAGGGGAGACTGATGCTCAAAGATCAGTGATAGTACCTGGGATGGGACTGTGGGAGCCCCAGCAAAGGAGGCCTCACCTGGCCCAAGAGCCCCAGAAAGGCTTCTTCAGCCTGGAAAGTACTGAGCTTGCAAGTTGTGTGATCACATAGATGGCAGAAACCCCAGGGGAAGACAGGGAACAAATGTGCAGGGGGGTTTAGGACCTCCAGATCTTTGATCTGCATCTTTAGGGTAAGGTGTATTTACCTCTTTGTTCATTAGCAGCATCACACGACCTAGCTTGTACAATAACTTGAAACAAAGATGCCTTTGATCCTCTTTAAGGATTTCTCCAGGCAGCTGACATCATATTCACACTGCATATCAAGAGGAATCTCTGCCTAAGTAAACAGAGTAGGTGCTGCAAGGAGGAAATGTCATCACTGGTGGCTCATTCCTATAAAACTACTCAAAGTTTGATGGTGGCCTAGGAAGACAAATCTGGGCAGACATTTGTATCTGCATTTAACCAGCAAAAAGACCGAAGTAGAGGTATGGCTCAAATGGTAAAACACCAGCCTTGAGCCAGAAAGCTAAGTGAGAGTATAAGGTTCTGAGTTCAAGGCCCCGTACCAGAAAAATAAAAAGGAGAAAAAATGTTTTGATAGCTCTTATTTAGGTCTTTGGAATCTCTAACAATTAAGTTGGTAGAAGAGATGCATCGTACAGGTATGCAACACACAACAGCCCAGCGCAACATGGGCTTCTACCCCATGCACTGTATTTTATTATTATTTCCATTTTGTTGGGTGTAGGGCTTGAACTCAGGACCTGGGCACTCACTGCCCTTGAGCTTTTCTGCTAAAGGTTAGCAGTCTACCACTTTGAGCCCCAGCTCCACTTCTGGTTTTCTCTTGTAGCTTTTTTTTTTTTTTCCAGGGCTGAGGACCAAACCCAGGGCTTTGTGCACGCCGGGCGGGTGCCCTTCCACTGGGCTAAACCCCCAGCCCCTCCACTTCTGGTTTTCTGTTGGTTAATTTGAGATAAGAGTCTCATGGATTTTCCTGCCCAGGCAGGCTTTGAACCGGGATCCTCAGATCAGATCTCAGTCTTCTGAGTAGCTAGGATTACAGGCATGAGCCAGCAGTGCCCTGCTTGCACTGTACTTTAGAATGGCATGTTCCAGGCCTCCTTTTGAGTGGCCAGGCCTCCAAGGAGATGTGCACCTCCATGCCTGTGAAGGTTTTCAGGGACTCTTAAGATTCCATGCACGATCACCTAAGTCAGTGTCGGCATTCCCATCGTACTCCTAGTCATCCCAATGTTTATGTGGCAGAGGACCGAGGAACGATCTGGGGCCTTTGTGCTGAAAGGATCTGGAGATGTGGCTGGGTTTTCCCAGAAGGCCTGTGGTAACACAGTGGCCAGAGACCTCCTTTCACACTAATTTTAGGCTCCTTTAACTATCAGAAGCCTGTGTAGCACTGGATAGAAGGTGACAAGAAAGTGTGTTTGATTTAGAAAGAAACTTGAAGTAAAGCAATTTTTAAAAAATGTAACTTCACAAAGGAGGA